GTAAAAAAAACATGCGAGAATAATTAAGATATCCTGCTATTGTATTAAGATCAGTGCCAGACGTCATTACTTAAGCATAAAAGATATGCAAACATATTGCTCTGAGTGAAGAGTTATTGGGTTTATCTATCATATCAAACAAGAAACAAATCGAGAGAAACGCAGGAAGTTACTTTGAGCGTTAAAGTACTCATAACTCGGCTATCATTGATGTTTAGCACAACACACTCTAAAGACATATTTCAGCAGAGGTAAATTGAGCTGAGTTTGGGTAAGTTGAGTGATCTCTTTTGCATTTATAAGATCATCTAACAAGTTTCCTTCCTTTATTTGTTTGGGTAAGCTTTCCATAACAAAGCCCTGTTATGGCATATAATGTTCCGTTTACTATAAATAATTATTTGGAAACTCCAGTAATTTATAAAAACTATCATCGAGCTCTTAGGGAGTGCAAGGTACTGTTGGTGTGGAAGTAAAAGAAAGTTGGTCCGGTTTCGTTCGTAAAAATTGTGACGACAAAATAAGTTCTGACGTTTACGAAAGGGGGAAACTGTTACTAATAACAAAAAGAAAAGAAGAAGGATTGGCCAATACAAAATTGCGGATCATGCTAAGTGTGCGTACATCGAGGTATGGATTCACGCGGGAAAGTTTGAAGAGGACGAGAAAAGCGCAATAGTCGCTTGAGGCGCAGCTGAGAACAATGTTATCTGCTTTAGTGCTCTATGACGTAGCTAACACAATTTGTGCACGAAAAAAGCGTTTTATCCTAAATGTCGGGTTTACCAGATATTATCTTGTTATCCGAAAATTGTACCACAAACGAATTGCAAAACGAAATGAAATATACGTGAATAACATTTTTGTTTTTTTCTAAAACTTAGCGAAATGCTTGCCAAAAGAACCCGAATGGTTTAGGGCTTTAATTACGGCAAGATCCTCCATAAACTGAACAGCTTTTGAGCGAGTAAATGGTATTCAAAATAGAGGTAATGCAAATTAAAGAGAGAGGCTTCACCGACATGTTTTTAATTTGTGTAATGCTAAAGGTGATTTAAAAGGCTTCCAAACAAATTTTAAAAATTTTTTTACAATTATTTGTCACAATCTGACACCCGGCATTTACAGAGCACGTAAGGAAAAAGAGCGCATGTACACTTTAAAAAAAAAACGGCGCTGGTTTGGCAAACGAACTCAAGTTCGATGACTGTCCTTACATTTTTCTTTAAAAACATTCAGTGATCTTTCAGGAAGTATTATTCACTTCCATCGATGATTAATGTAAGAAGAATATCCCTGCTCAGTCAGTAAATGGCAAGGAAAGTAATTGTAAGTAAATTCATGATCATGTTCTGAAGTTGTGAGAGTTAGCTTGTTTGTTTGCTGTAATGGCGTGTAGAATTCTGGTCTTTCTTCCACCGAAAAATTTAAGTCAAATGAAACACTTTTTAACTGGACCCAAGGAGAATTTAATGCAGCTTTTTCTCGTTGAATTCCTTCGGTTTTTGTTGTGCAGTTTAAGGTACAAATGATCAAATTGAAGAGACTTGCAAAGACTTGCCGAAAGCGTATTTGTATTAGGACTGAAGACTTCTCTGACCGCTTAACAACGAAAAATTGCTTGAGAGAATTCAGATATCGAATGAATGAAAATTTAACTGAATAAAAATTTAAAATGTCAACAAATACCTTACAGTTTCAACTTTCTGAGTTACTTTTTGAGAAGGATTAAAAGTCAATAAAAACCGTTTTTAGGCCGGGAGTCAACCAATTTAATAATGACACATTTGCGACCACAAATATTTCGAATACAAGTTTTTTGCTGGCAACCAAAGTAATTTGATCTGGGATTGCTTGGAAATATTCCCACCCGGCAGAACGAATGAAAAATTGCAACGAAACTAGGGATGTAGTCGGCGACTCACGCAAGCGTTATCGTGTCCGTGGGCAGAGATGGGAAGATCCGGACTGCATTAACAACCAATCAGAACGTAGGATTCGTAACCGCCCTCTTAGAGAAAAATATAAATATATGTTATTCACAAGCCGGGAGGTCCGTATTGGGAGAAACTGTGCCCTCTGTCTTGAGTGCCGTCCGAGGCCTACCTACTCTGGCGGTACTCAAGACGGAGGGCACAGTGATCTTACGGAACGTGTCATTCACTTCCACCAATGATTAGTGTATGAAGAACACCTTTGCTCAGTCAGTTAATGGCAAGGAAAGTAATTGTAAGTAAAGTCAGCGATAAGTTTTGAACTTGTGGGAGTTTGCTCGTCTGTTTGCTGCAGTAGCGCGTGTAAATCTGGTCTTTTTTCACCGAAACACTAAAATCACTAAAATAACTAGACACTGACTAAACCCAAGGGAAATTTAATGCGGCTTTTTCTCGTTGAATTTTTTTGATTTTTGTTCAGCAATTTACGGTACAAATGACCAAATTGAACAGACTTGCTAAAACTTACTGAAAGCGTGTGTGTAGGAGGACTGAAAACTTTTCTCACCGTTTCACAACGAAAAGATTGTTAGAGAGAATTCAGATCTTAAATGAATGAAAGTTATATCGATTTATTCCATTTAAAACAAGTATCTCAAAATTTTAACTTTTTGAGTTACTCTTTGTGAAGGAGTACAGTTAATTGAAGACTTTTTTTAAGGCCGCGTGTCAACTCACAAATTCATTTCGAAAACAAGTTTTTTCTGGCAACTATAGTGATTTGAGAGCAAGAAAAGAGAGGACTAATAAGTTATTAATCGATTTGATTTGCTTAAAAATACTTTGACCAGCTGGTAAAACAAAATTTATTAGTGAAAAACGGCAACGAAGCTATGCATGTTCTCGGCGACTCACGAAAGCGTTACAGTGCCCGTGGGCAGAGATAGGAAAATCCGGACAGCACTAAGAGCCAATCAGATGGCAGGATTCGTTACCTTGCCCTCTGAGAAAGAAATAATAATAAATATATCTTGACCAATTCGTAATTCAAACAAGAGCTAATTGATGGAAGAGAGAAGCGAAAGTTAGTTATTTACTGACTCTTTATTCTAATATTTGTCGAGGTTTGGTGAGGCTTTCCCATCCAACACCTGCTTGGACAGTACGAGATAAAAATCTTAGTTCTAATACCTGGTAACGGCTGTAGTCCTTGTTCATAAAGGTGATTTAGCGGTAATCATAATTTTGAGAATTTGTGGGTCATACTACACTTCATATTTGTTTCCGCTTTAAAACCGCTGGAGCAAACTGTTCAGCCGGCTCGTGGTGTTTGATTTGTATAGGTAACCACATGATTTTGAGTGCAATTTGGTGTTAATAAGCACGAATAAATGAATGTCACTAAAAGCAGTAATGTGGAGTAGGGAATAGGGAAGGGGAATGGAAGACCTTATTTAATTTCAAGATGGAAGATAAAGGTTGACTTTTTCATTTCAGTCTTTTTGATACAAAACACTTTTACTAAAAATAGATTTGAAGTAACCTCTGAGAATTAAAGAAAAAACAACCTACGCCTCGTGTGATAAAGATTCATAACTCGACTATCATTGGTATTTAGGAACAGCACCTGTCGACATTTAGTATAACCCACTTGACATTTGGAGACATAAATAAGAGAGATAAATGGAGAGATAAATGGAGGCCGAAGTTCCATATTTCTATTCCATTTATAACATGATCTTAAAAGGGTCATTCTTTCGTGTCTTTGGGTAGGCTTTCCATGACAAAACCTCGTTATGGCATATAATACTTTGTTTTCTATGGGTTTTTATTTAGGGACTCCAAGAAATTAAAAAAAACATCGAACTTTTAGAAAATTTATAATCTCGTAATGAACGGATCTTTCAGTTCAAAAGCAATGAAAACCAATATCTGACATAAAAAATTCTTCCGGCTGTTTTAAAGTACAACGGCGAGCAAGCGCCAACCATTGCAAAATGGAAAACCGTTGTAAAAGATAAACAAATTGTTAATTTTTTTCGCCTTTCAACGCGACCCAATGCAATAATCTGAAACGATAACTTCTTTTTAATGAAAAAAATTTTTTTTTCCTTTTTACTGATTTTATTGGACCTCGACTGTGGCTTGGATCATCAAAAAAGCAAAAAAAGAACTCGGCCAATATCCAGCCAACTTGATCTCACGCTTGGTCACTAACGCACTGTATCACATTAGTATCACATCTTAATGCTGCCGACGATTTGTTTTCGTAATCTCGAACAGAACATGTTCATGCGTTCATTTTCAATACGTTCAACTGGTGGAGGCCGTAGGAAACTACAACTAAGCGTTTTGGGTTGACTTCTGAGGTGTAAATTGAGGTATTAATTTTACTGAAAATCCATATGTAACTTTATCTTAGCATAGTTAATTGTGTTGACAGGTACTATTCTAATTAGTCCGTGTGCAGCAAGAGGCACCTACATTCACCTCAGAATGAATCCAAAGTTCTGGCTGGCAACAATGTTTCTGATGTCCCGGATTGGTGTACTCGACGCCAACAGCCGGTGTCATGTAACGGAAAGCTCTATTGGCGGAATGTACCTGAGAGGTCACGTGTTTAAAGTGCATCGCGATGAGTTGCCTGAAGAGTGTTTTTTCCTGTGTGAGGAAGAAGTCACGTGTCAGAGTTACAATGTCGTCATTGGTCAAAACATCTGTGAACTGAACAATCGTACAAAGGAAGCAAGACCGAAGTCAAAATTAAAGAAACGACGTTTTGGAATCATTGTCTCATCAACGTCATCTTAGGAAGATAATATTTGACTGCAAAGTAGTTTAACGATGATACTGCAACGTTAGCTTGTTTCGCTTCGTTACTGTTGCTGTCTTCCATCTCATTTCTTAGTCTAGATCTAATAGAGTTAGCACAGTTTTTATTTCATTCTGCTTTTACGCAGGCAGGAAAGTAGGAGCTTTTTTTCCTATCCTCTCGTATCACGAGGTATCGAATTGCATGACGGTGGAAACTACCTATATGAAATTTTCTGATGCAGTTCCCCTCGGATCCATCAAAGAACTTCCGGCGGAATCCTGTAATGAGATTGTAGTGAGCGAAGGGGAACAGATGGCTGACGGGAAATACTGGATTTACTCTGAAGAGAATAGCGAGGTCATCAAGGCTTATTGTGAAGGTAAACTGTTTCACTAAATTACTAACCTATTTCCCCACTGCCTCTTAAACGTGTTCTCTTATCCTAACTTTTTTTTATATTTACCAAAATTATATCTCGTCGCACTGTTCCAGCACTGAAAAAAGGGGAATTATAGTAAAAAAAAAAAAAAGGATTTGTGTTTGAAGAAGATAAGTCAACGACATGAACTGTTCTTTCCCTTATACAAAATTGTTTTAATGGCGAATGGGAATAGATCAAAACTACTATTCAGATCACGACGCCGAAAAAGGACAATGGTTAACCTTTTTTATTACTGGGATTTATTCTGCAAATAGCTTTTAGTTACCATTCGAAAATAGACTGGCTTACAGTGGCTTTTTCTTTCTTAAAACAGTTTAATTAACTTTCAAAACTATCTGCCTATCCTATTTCTTTATCTTAGAGAGCTGGCAAAAGATAAATGGTGAAGAACCTGTCTGCTTTGGAGCCAAAGACAATCAGTATGGTTCCTTCAACATGACAAAGAGTGGACGAGTTAAGACAATGAAGCTTATTCACAAGTCAGGGTCGGTGCGCTGCAACAATGTTACTATTTCATCCTACTGGGGTTGCACCTGGACATCATATAAAGACAATCTGATGACAATCATCACAGATGCCAATAAGAAGGCCATTCTGCCACCTGCCGAGGACTTGAAAGCTTTTAAAACTCCCGGTCATTTTGATAACAAAGAACACTTTTACAGTCTTCCTAAATATCACCATAATTCAATTGAGCTGGTTTTTCGCAACCTCGTCAATCCTTTGTCTGTCTCGAGCAACAAAGAGATGCAGATATGGTACGGACAGGATTGGATAGACCGCGGAGAGGAAGACAACAGCGGTAAAACTTGTGTTGATGTGTATGCATGGTATGAGTGAGTCTGCCCTCTGGAGACCTTGCCTTCGATAATTTTATAACGTAGAATAAAAACATTAGATTACAAATGAAAGCCATTTATGTACAAGATCCTGGGTAACATTTTTAGGAAGACGAACCTGTTCCAATGTTTAAGGACTGCTGTGTCTTCGTTTCTATACTCGACGGAGGGAAAGACGGCAGGGATCAGAATGGTTTTCACTGATATATCGCTCAAGATCACGGAGGAAAGCGTGATAATTTTCAGTCAATTAGTTTTGCTCAGCACGGTACACCGTACTAGGTAGCATGGTACACTCCCATTGCATTCATAGTCGAGTGCCATTTTAACTGTATGAGAAGATTTAATTTCAATAAATTCATGTACATAAGTGGTTATTTATAGTGGGTTTTGAACTCTAGTTCGATTTCGAAAAAGGAAAAAACTAAAGCGAAATAAAACTAAACAATTCCGGAAGACAAAAGAAAGGAAAGAACACAAAACAAAAACAAACACCCTCTCGAAAAATACTCTCCTCAGTTCCGTGAATCAAGTCTATTTTTCATCATAACATGCCAGACCTGTGATCCTTCCTAAAAACTCCCTCAAGTAATTGACGCCAGGAAAAAACCTCATCTGAGGGCCCTTGACAAAATCAATTCTATCCAAATGTTTTTTTTATTATTAGTGAAATGATGTACTTTTTCAAAAACGATCAGTAAAGAAAAATGATAAAGAATATCAAATGCTCATCGGTTACATCCATTCAAAACTTAGAATTTAACAATGCACCATCTTTGAATGGACTTGATGCTTGCGAATGGGACTAAATATGCTAAACGTGATGTGTAAATTGTCCTTTTAACACATTTTTGATGACTTGCAAACTTTCCTATCGCTGTTAGTGCTAGAGTCGGGATGCTGATGATCAAACAACCTCATATTTGTTATATTTTTGATTACACAGAATACGAGGACACAATTGCGTTACCACTTAACTTAACTCGAACAAAATAATGAGAAACAAAGGATCGTCATTATGGGCAATTTAGTATCATCAACTGTGTTGATAACGTGAATTAGCCGCCGTAAAGGGTTTAAAAGCCGACCTTTCGAGCGTTAGCCCTTCGTCAGAGCGATTGGAGGAATTGTGGGTTGTGTGTGGGTTTATATTCAGAAAATGAAGCTATGCTATTGGTAGAGAAAACAGGAATAAATTAGTTGAATGAAGAACACTTGTTGATACCGCGCGGATTAAGACTGCCGAGTAGGGATGCTCACGGGTCCCCACGAGCCCTCTGTTCTCTCGTTACCATATTCCCACCAATAGCGTAGCTCCATTTTCTGCATATAAACCCACACACAACCCACAATTCCTCCAATCGCTCTAACGAATGGCGAACGCTCGAAACTCTTTACGGTGGCCAATTGAAGCTATCAACTCAGCCGATCATACTAAATTACCCTGTTATACTCTCCCACCGACGCAGCACCACAGTTTCTTTAGAAACTTACACCTTGTATTCGGATACTTGAAAGATCTGGTTCCAGGTGTGTAAATCTTACCCGGTGGATGGTACAGTACGTTTTGCTATCACTTTTCTGCTGGAAAGCAATTTATCGGTTGCATTGTGTTATCTCCCTTTTATAAAACTAGGCCCTAAACGTTGAAAATTCTGAATTTTCTCTTTCATCAAATTCAGACTCTCTCTAATAATTGGGGTTCAACGGAATATGCTTATAAACTAGAGCACTGGCTGAGCGCCCCAGTATGAGGGAAGCAAGGAAAGCCTCTCTAAATTTAATTTGAAGAATAAAAAAGGCCTAAGGATGACAATTACTGCCGACTCATTCACGAAAATAGATTTACATGATGATTTGGCAAGGTGTTACCGTTGCCTGCGACAAAATCTTGCCCATAAGAACCAATTAGATTGCAGGATTCGTTGCCATACGCGTGCTCTATTGGAAAAACATATTGCTGATGTATCTAGCCTCTCTGTAAGTATTTTATGTTCCTTTTGGTCAAAAAGCTACATTCGATGATAATTGATCAGCTCACTGACTCAATACTCGGTGAACACGAGCCGTAATTTATGAGGCTTGTTTTTATCAGCGTGACAGATAATACTAATTTTCGTGGTCAGTCATTAGCTACGCGCAGTCGTCTACCGTCGACGTTTTGAGGTGTTTTTTTTAAATATGTTTTTGAACCAGGAGGGAAGAGTGACTCCATTGTTCTCTTGTATGAGCTGCTGTCGAGAAACCACGGCCAGTGTGACGTCACCTAGCAACATTAGAAGCGCTTCGCAAAGTTTGCTCAGCTTAGCGTGAGGAGAATAACACTAGCTGACAAAGACAAGGCCGTTACAGGCTCCTAGTGGGTTATTATTGACCAATTTGCCGTGATTGTGAAAGCTTTGTTGTAAACGTTGTGTGTGAGTTTAACTGTGTATTGTCTTGTGAATGTTTTTGGTTTTTATTTCACAGAATAGTGTCAGAGGTGATCTCTTTGAATGGAGCCATGATTTAAGACCTCTCTCCTTCTTTCAGTTTTTAATCAGTTTTCGACTTTAACGTTATGTTATACCAGTTACGCTAAGGGCGCACACGTCACCTCGTCAACGCCTTCATTAGTATTAACGAAAAAAACAAAGATTTGTGACAGTTACAACCCCATTAGCAACCTTTTTTTAGTTCAGAAACTGATTCAAAGACCCTCCATGTGAGCTCTACTAAAGAGTTTGCGTTCAGGCCACTCCATCCTTCTCCATCAAATTCCTCAGCACATACACAATGGAGCAGACCGCCCCCACCCTTCCCCTTTACGAAAGCCCTACTATGGGAATCAGGTATGATTGCAAGAACCCCTGAATATAAGTTACAAATATACAATCTAATTTTTAATTGCCCTTTCATTTCCCTGCGTAAATCAGTGACCTTTGACTGAACATTGTTCGCATCCCTAGCGCACAAACCAGAAAGAAACACAGGGTGGAAAATTAAAAACTGGACTTCAACCCAGACACCTAACGACGCGAGCCCTGTGACGAACGTTCAGCAAATGAACTGAACTGTTTTGTTTTGTGTGATTATTTACTATCGTTTAAATTCTATTATCGTTTCATTGTTCATTCTTTTAATCATTTATCAGAGTGTATTTGATCGTGTTATTAGCCGCCTATCATGTTTAAAGCCTGTTGCTTACATAATCTCTGCAGTATCACATATCGGAGTGTCGAAGTAAGTTGTCGGAGTATATCCATCTAGAGTTTTCTATCGGAGTTATTGGAGTTTTCGGAGTAACTGGAGTCACTTTCCCACGGAGTTTCTTTTACCCTTTTTACGCAGGATCAAACGTGAGTTTCCTTTGTAAATTTAATCGCCTTTTTTTATCGTTACATTCATTTGTAATTTCCATAGAATCATTTCTGATTACGCAATCATAAATTTCCTTTTAGTTTTCACCGCATTGTAACACGTCGTACTCAATAAAAACTGGAATGAGACGGATGTGTATATGTGGTTGACACTCAACGTAATCCCAACACTTGGGTACGCGACAAGCCCAGAAAATACTTTTAAACTCTGGAGAATACTTTACAATTTTTTGAGAAAGTTCCATGAGAAAACGGTGAAGGAACGCCATCCACCGTCCCCTCGCAGGTGTCTTGAACGCGTTCGAGCTGTATTATATTTAAGCACAGGCGGCCCAAGCTTAAGCTGTGAGTTGATCATGTTGAGAAATAAGAGCCATGGCGAAATGATAAGAGTTTGTATGGGAATATTTACGCATGCTCTTGGAAATAAAAAATACAGTCAAACTTCTCAATAAAAATACCTTACTTTCACAGAGCATCGCTTGCTATCTGACTGCTTACTATGTTGAAAAGAACCCATTTTAGCGAGTTATCCATTTCTAGGTTTACTAAGTACATAAGAGAAGCCCTTCTCCCCTTAATTCAGAGGCGGTTTGAGCTGCCTGTGATTTAAGCTGTGACTCGGGGTGGAGGTAGACCCACAAAAAAAACTAACGCGAACACGTCATTCTGGCCTATTACTATAGGAATTTTTTTTTTTAATTTCTTGAAAATTTCGTGCTAAGTTAAAAAAAAAGGAACAGTCAACTTTCGAAATTTATATTTTGGTACCTTTTTTACTTCGGGAGATAAAGGCTTGATTTTTGAACTTTCACGATTTTATTTGGAGAAAATATCAAAAAACAATGGCCTAAAAAGTTTCCGGAATTTTTGAGTCAAAAACATCTGCATTTAAAACTTTGCTCAAAAGCGGAGCTTTAATGGACAAATGGCAGAAACTCTTTTTAGGTCAATACGTATAGATCATATTCCCAATGGAAAACAAACGTTGAATAAACTAATCTTGTTAGCCGTCTGGGCGTTTTTTAAAAAAAGCTTCCTTTCCGCTGATGGTAAAAATTTTGAAAGTGATTGAATATCCCAAGTCAGTGTTAATATGGCTCAGAGAAAATGTATACTTTTATCGGGATAGCTTGAATAGTTTGCATGCTAATTCATTTTGAATGAATGCGCTAATTTTCCTTCTCTGATACCTTAACACGTCGGATGTACTCAGTGAAAAAAGAAGAGGCACCCTTTAAAGAAACTAGCTTTCACAGCTATTTGCATGCTTGCATAATCATTGTAACATATCCAGTTGATCAAGTTCTTTTTATTTTTTATTACTGTTATCATAAACTCTGATGAAAAGGTTGGAGGAGTGAAACCAAACTTCCCAGGTGAAAAAAATTATATATATATATAAACCACTGCAGATGTTTACATGCTGCTGTGAGTGTTTATCAAGTTCCATTGGTACACTGTTCTCAACTCTCTCTTTGATACAAAAAATTAAAACTTTCAAAGAACACACCTTGAGATCGTTATTGAATGAAGACTATTGAACCAATCAACAAACATGTCGAAGGAAATAAGACAGAAATTTAGGATTATTGTAGAAGATATCACTTAGTTGCACTATGTACTTGACCAAACATGACAAGTACCTGGTTCTCAATTTCAGCCCCAAATAACTCAACGTCCACGACACCTCTATCATATCGCATCCCTCCAGTGGCTCAACCCAACCCCACCTCTCCACAAGCCCGACATAACCCCATCCCTCCACCAGCCCAACATAACCTCATCCCCCTCCACCAGCCCAACTTAACCCCACTTCTCCACTAGCCCAACCTAACCCCACTCCTCCACTAGCCCAACCTAACCCCACTCCTCCACTAGCCCAACCTAACCCCACTCCTCCACTAGCCCGACCTAAACCCACTTATCCACTAGCCCAACCTAACCCCACTTCTCCACTAGCCCAAACTAACCCCACTCCTCCACTAGCTTGACCTAACC